AAAAAATAAGGCTTCAATGTTTACTTATTTGCCTGCGAATGATTGGATCTCACCGATAGCTTGAAAGGCAACTCGCTCATTTAATATTCACAGGCAAAGTCAATACAAATTTTGACATGATAATGGTCAATGGCAGAAATTCACTTTTAAAAGTAGATTAATGATTTTGTAACTAGGTCAGCTTTCACTGGTTGTAACCAAGGAGAGACAATTAATGACAATAAAAATACTTTGAACAAAGAAAACATAGCATGCACACAAGGCAAAACAATAACATGAAATTATTTTATTCACAAAACTTTTTATTTCTTTTTAAAACATTTCGAGAACATTCATTATATGAAACGTTTGCAAATAGGAAATGGAGACTCGCCTTATTTTCGACCTTATTTGGTCAACGAGTTGAACATCAGTGTCGATCGTCTATTATAATCACCGTACTTTTTTTATAATGAAAACTTTTACATGTTAACTTTGGCTACACACAGCGAAGTTCAATCATAGAAAGAAATTAAAAATTCATTCATGCCTTTATATTTTAAACAATAATAGATTGCAACATGGCAGAACTCAGAATAAGACGTCATTGTATCAAGGTAGTTTATCAATTAATATTTCACTTCTTTGATCTCGCTTATGATCTTGTCGACCCACGGACTCTTTCGGACATATTATTACGCTACATAATTTTAAAACGGCAAAACAAGAAGATTCTCATCTCAATATTGGTGGTCTATTGACTGACAAATTTGAAGTGGAATATTGTGATGTTTGAAATGCTTCTGTTAAGAACCCGGCTGGAGTTAAAAATTAAAGTCACATCTATTGTTTTATTTTCATATTATTGTCATTTACATTCAAAAAACACAAAGCCTTATCGCTTCCTTAGGATAATTCCGTATCTTTCTTTTCTATTTTTGAACTTCTTTTTTAGAATAGAATAGAAGCTTTATTTATTTACATGGTAGCAAAAATTGCTAAATTGCGTACAAAACTACTTAAAAAATATGTGATAATAATAATAATAATAATAATAACAATAAAACTATAATATACATTATAGTTTTTGACGCTTGTCAAAAACCGAGAAAAGAAGAGAAACTGCGTCTTTATCTGCGCCGGGAAAAACAGACAGGTAATATCGCAAATATTGTGGGAAAATAATTGCACTTCCTAAAAATACTGAACATCGTAGCTTAATACATGTTAATACCGCCGAAGAAAATTCAGAACAGAGCGACAATAAATTAAAATTACGAAATGAGCCAGAAGAAACAAGAAAAACAAAACGAAAATATAAAGGGAAAATAAATTAAAAAATAGATGGTTTTCCTGTGGTGTAGAGATCGCGAGCGACTGGGTTGACGAGTTTCCAATGCATTCTGGGTATATATTGCCATAGTAACAGCCGCAAAGCAAACTTTCAGTATGTATAAAGAAACAGCAACAAGACTCTTCGCATAAATACTGAAAATTAGAGATTTAAACACCTTATACTGAACACASCTACATTAGAGAGATGTATAAACTTGATCTCCCGGTGGATCTCAAAGAAAATGCGGCMATTGAGCGAAGGCGTAATAGAGAAATGCAGAGACAGAGTCGGATTTTTAATGCCCGTGTTCGAACCATCGGAGTAAGTATGCCTATGAATTTTACTTCAATCTGTGAGCTTTATATTGCCTCAATTCTTCATGTGGAATTAAACCTTGTTATATAACTATATATATCATACATAGGCTGTTATTTTATTAGGAGGTCTCCTTTATGTTCTCATAACTCGAGTACTTCGAAAAGACCCCCAACCAGAAACTCGAATCATAAGCTTATCATAATTTCATCGCTTCTTGCTTAGATTGATGTCCAAGCTTTAGAAGGGCAAGTCATGGATAGGAAAAGGCAAGAAGAAGAAGAAAGAAGAAGACACAATGCCTTCGGTAAATGACATTTGATTAAAACATTTTGGTGTAGTGTACCACAAACAAGTAGTAGTAGTCATTGCATTTTAAATGTTATGATACAAGCTTATCACTTATTCCCGTATTATAAATCTTTAGCTGCTGACATGACAAGAAATGACAAGATATGCGCATTGATGGAGAAGCGCCAAGAGCATGATATTAGGGAATTGAAGAAAGAATTGGTAACATTTCGTATGGAGCACCAGCGTCCAGAAGACACCCGTGAATGGGATTTRAATGATCCAGAATATCTTAAGAAAGACAAGCCTGCGAGAGTATCTGATGATGACCCAAGATGTGGTATCTCCTCTTTACAGAAGTTTATGGGAGAAGATTTGAACTCTAAAGACAGAAGTAAATTACAACAAGAACAATTGAGGTATAGTCTATTAATACTCGACAATCACTGCCATTTTATAATGTGTATATTCAATTTTTAGTATTTCACGTCAATTTGAACTCCAAACTTTGCCAAACACAAATTTCGTCAGATTTCAGTTGGTTTTGCAGGAAGATCTATTAAAAGCTATGTAAAGTTTGAAGTTTCGAATTGGCATGTAGAGTAAAATGTATCAAATTCTGAAATTCTGTGGGAGTAGTTATGTTCATAATATGTTATCATAATTCTTCTTTAAGGGAGTGGTCTAAGCAGCAGACGGAAGAGAAAAACCAATCAAAAGCAAATCAACAATATGCTGATCATCTTTATGAACTAAAGGCAAGAGAAATGGACCAGAGAGCCTGTGAATTAGCTCAAGCTGAAGAAGACTGCCGTCGTGCAATCAACATGGCAACCAAAGATTTTAATGATGCACTTAACAGGGAGAAAAAAACAAAAGAAGAACTTGCAAAACAGCAGGAACAAGATGACAACTTTACAGAAATCTCTAATCATGTGTTTGGGGATATGTTAACAGAAAATCCCGATGTTGCCCAGAGTGCATTTGGAGCTCAYAGAGTCATTACTGATAGATGGAAGGGAATGAGTCCRGCTCAGCTTGCAGAGATACGCTACATACAACAGAAACAGTTGGAAGAAAAAGAGGTTAGTTGATAACAGTCCTTTTGTAMTCTACTGGTTGCTCTTAAAAMTGAATTGTTGCCTTGTTAAATCCTATTGGTGTAACAGCCGTTTATATTTTAGCTTATATTATGTCTTGGCTTGTTGTTCATGAAAAATAGACATGTTAATAACTATTATTTCATTTTGATAGCGACTCAAACAAGAAGAAGAAGAAAAGCACAGAGAATATGAAAGACTTCTTCTGACCCAGGCCAAAGCTGGTATTTTAATGGAGAGAGAGCTTGAGAGAAAAAGAAAACAACTTGAAAAAGATCAAGCTTTGGAAAACCTCAGACTTTCAGCTGAACAAAAAGCACAGTAAGTCTACTGATATCATTGGAAAGCCAGAATAACAGCAACCATTAGAAATTCAATGCATTATTGTTTTGATAAGTAGACAAAAAGAATTAACAAGATTGTGTTTTGTATTTGCAGTCAAGATTAYRTCAACCAAGAAATCTAYTCAAACCAACCAACAGCAGCTTACTTCATGCAATTCAACACTTCAAGTCGATAAAACTTTTAAATTTGTACAGATTTTATTCACTTATATTGATGTATATTTGGTGGTTTGWGAAATGAAAAATAAACCATGTCAATGGCAAGATTKTGTKTWWAATWATWRTARWWARTRSTTC